CACACTCTTATTGGGAAATAGCTAATGGTCGAACAGTAAAGTTCTGGCAGCAAAAATGGACCGACAGGAATGCAAGGCTGATTGATAAAACAACTCAGCCCATTCCATGGGAGGAAGCTGGAAAAATGTTTGCTGATTATGTCAATGATGCTGGAGAATGGGATAGAGAGAGGCTGTCTAGGTGGCTCCCTGTGGCTGATATTGAAACTATTAGAAGTCATCTCCTTCCCCATCCCCTTGATGGTGTTGACCATTTGAAATGGAATATTGCTAGTGGTAATGGTATCTCGGTGAAAGGTATATATGGGTTGCTCACAAAGCAAACAGAAATGGAATCAACAAGCTCTGACATTTGGAAGTTAATTTGGAGCTGGAAAGGTCCTCATAAGATCCAATTTTTCTGGTGGATAGTAGCTCATGGGAGACTGACTACAAAGAAAAGATTGGCTTATATGCAGATGGGGGATCCATTGTGTGCTTTATGCAATACTGGTGAAGAGTCCTGCATTCATGCCTTACGTGATTGTTCCTGTGTCCATAATCTTTGGATTAATTTAGGAGCTGAAAATTTTTGTCCCGATTTCTTTGTGATGGAAGGTACCGAATGGATTTGTTCCAATTTTCGAACAGTCTCTACTATTAATAATGATGTACCTTGGAATTCAATTTTTGCTGTTACGGCTTGGCTCTGTTGGAAGTGGAGAAATGATAAAATGCATGGGGGTCTAAATTTACAATATGCATACAATCACAACTTCACATTAAGTCGGGCTAAGGAGTTTTGGGCTGTTGCACAGAGGAAGATTCAGGGAACGCCAACTGCAAGCAGAATACCAATTTCAATTGGTTGGAATTTTCCGGAAGATGATTGGGTCAAAGTTAACACAGATGGGGCTGCTAAGGGGAATCCTGGAGTGGCAGCATGTGGGGGATTGATAAGAGATAATACTAGTAAGTGGCTCACTGGATTTTCATATAGAGTGGGTTATTGTAGTGCTATCCAAGCAGAATTGTGGGGTATTCTCAAGGGAATACAATTGGCTTGGGAAGGAGGATGGAAAAAAGTAATTATTGAAAGTGACTCGGCAACAGCAGTCACTTGGCTTACTAATTCAAGTGAGCCAGCCTGTGAGCATCATTTGGTGTCTCGTATACGGGCTTGGATGAACAGGGAATGGTCAGTAAAGATGAAGCATACGTATAGAGAGGGTAATTGTTGTGCTGATTGGCTTTCAAATTTACCTCTGGCTAATCAGGATCTTGAAGATTTTTGTGTTTTTCCGTCTGCTCCTTCTGGTATTTTATTATTGTATTTAGCTGATTTAGGGGGTACCAATAGTACTCGTTGTATTTTTGTTTCTTAGCCTTTTTGGGGTTTTCTTTGCCCAAATAGGATACCCAAAAAAAAAAAAAAATCCAAAAATTCAAATTTGAAATTTTCTTATGCATATGATATATGGCTAGAAAATTCTCATCACATAGAACAAAAACCCCAAGATAGAAAGTAATGGTATTGTTAATAGGCTTAACAATTTCCAATATAGAAAATAGTGGTATTAATAATAAGCATAACTATTACCCATGGAAAAAGTAGTGATATATAATACAACTTTTTTGCACCAAAGAATGATGAACTCTTTTTTCACCTATCAAGTTTAAATTTCGAATTTGAATACAAAGTGGATATTAAAGGAAATAAATCGAATTTTAACCACAATTTTTTTTAAAATAAAATGATCTTATAAAAAATTTAAAAAGAAAATAGTCTTGTAAATCAAATGTTCTCAGGTTCTTCTAATTGATGTAAATCATCGCAGAAGATTTAAAACAATGAGATTTTATATTTTTTTTTATGTACTACAGACTTAATATATTTTTTATTAAAATGAGAAAAAAAATTATTTTTATCTATTTTAATATCTTTTTCAAACTTTAATACATGACATTTATTTTCAAAAATAAAAATAAATTTTAAACTAATTTTCCAAAAATTCTTAAAAAAAAGAAGAGTTAAAAGAAAGTATAAGGAAATGGATTATTTCATGTCAAATATTATACGAAGTTTTGTATCCTTTGAAGTTTGAAGATAAATAGTTAAAAAAATTGGTGGATACACGGTTTTTCTTTGTAGAAAAAAAAAAGATAGAGAAGAATGTCATACCTTCCTCTGAGGAGATAAAAAAGTACATATCTTAGTGATTCCAAATCATCCCTTCGGCTTTGCTCCACAACAGAGCTGCAAAAAAAATGGAAAATATTAATGTTCATATAATAGAAGAACAACTTGAGAAGATGAAGAAGATAAACAGACACAGAAAAGAAGAAATATGTGCACAGAACCAATAACACATTATATTTTCACAAGAAATAATTTTGTTTTTTACAAAAAAAATTCATTTTTTTAATGATTTTTTTTTTATTTTTTAACTAATTAATGTTTGGTTTACTTTTTTTTTGTATCATCAATAGGGTTAATAATTACCTATGCAGAAAAGTAGTGGAATATTAATACAGTTGTCTGCCATCAATTAATGTTAAATTTTTTTTCCACCTATATCAAGTTTAAAATTCAAATTAAAAAAAAGTAGTGAGATATTAATAGAGATGTGTGTCACCAATTAATGATGAACTCTTTTTCTACTTGTATAAAGTATAAATTTTGAATTTTTAAAAAGTCATTAAAGAAGGAAAGATTTTAAATGATTTCAAATATGAATACAAAGTAGATATTGAAGGACAGAACGACATCCTAACAATTTTGCCAAAGAATAATTTTACTTTAGTATAGTTAATAGATATAGATAACTATGTGTATGTGATCAATTCGTTTGCTTGGAAAGCATATGTTGCACATAAATTAAGGGATTTGCATTTATCATTTAACATAACACAGCAAAATTTCCTACACACACAATATTTTGTGGGACCCACACCTTTTGAAACAAAAAAAAAATACGACACGCAAAACAAATCTCTATAACATTACATAATCACTTTTCCTACAACATAACTCTTATAAAACTCTAAATTTAAATATATTTTGGTGAAGTGGTAAAAAACAATGATTGATGAAGATGATATATAAATAAATAAATGGCACGTATATTTTCAATTTAAATGTGAATTTGGTAATATATACTCATAGTATAAAATGTTAGTCATTCAGGCAATTTTATTTATTTATTTATTTATCTACATCGTTTGGAATATTGAGCACGCGACGACTTCTCATTTTGTCAGCATTTCGTAGCTTATAACACCCTTCGTAGACTTGTCTATGTCAACGGCAACCTCTTCTTTCCAGTGGCCACTATTTAATAACATGAAGTGGAGAAAATGCTTGAAAGACGACGAACCGACAGCGACACAGTGATCGTGATCTGTGGTGGTGTTTGTGTAACTACCATTGACCAACGAGTTTCAATCTGCTCTAACTCTTTTCTCTGTCCCCCATCTTCATATGTCGGGTTATGACAGATCGCATTTGACTTGACTAAGTCAGCAGAAAGTTCTTTCCAGTTACCGATTACTTCAAATCGAGGAAAAGCTTGGTGGACAATAAAGAGAGGTAGATCTACAGTGTTTCAACTTTTAATTGCAATTTGCAAGTTACATTCCAGTGTTTACTCATCAAATGAAACTTGAATGTTATCATGACACATGAAACTTTGATGTATTATATATGGTGATGGGAAAAATAAAAATAAAAAAGAGGCACAAAAACAAGCATATAAGATATTTATATTTAGTGTGGATAATCTTCTAATAATGATAGAAAGAAAAATCACGGAACAAATCTTCTATATATTTCACTATAACATGCACAAAAATCAAAGGTTCTAGTTAGAAGTTTTTTTTTTTTTTTTTTTTTTTTTTTTCCAATTTAGGCGGCTACCATCATTGAATAGGGATTGCCGTGTTGTTAAAATTTATTTCTCCTGCTACGGCCAAAATTATATTTTGACTTCAATTTGGTACGTACGTGGTTGCAAGCATTATATGCCATCTTAAATATTTTGGTTGCATACGTCACTTTTGCCAGTTCTATTTCAACAGTCTGGGCTTCCCTATTCTTCTATATATAGCCTATTATTTCATTCCTAAAAAAAAAATCAGCAATAGTTTCCTTTGCCAATTGTGTTCATAGATAATTTCTAATTCGGCTTCCACTTTATTCTTCAATTTGGCACCTTGGTTGAAAGCATTAAATGGCTTTGTGCCATCTTAAATATTCTGGCTGCATATGGATCCACTTATGCCAATTTTCTTCAACAATTTCCACTTCCACATTTATTACAACCGATTATTTCCTCCTTTTAAAAAAGTTCTCCTATAGTTTTTGTTTTTGTTTTCTTTGTTTTTCTAAAAATTGTGCTTATAAATAATTATAATTTGCTCTAAATTTTTCATAGAGTCCCTTTTTAAATTTTTTACATACATCAACAGTTCACTTTTTCACTTTCTTTTCTAATTTTTTATCTTCATCTTAATTAATGTGGCGTCAAGCTTATCCTCTTTTTTTTTTAATTTTTATCTTTTCTTGTGATGTCGAGCCTGGCTAGTTTAAGAAAAATTGATGATATTTTCGATATTTATTTTAAGGTAATTCTGTTGATGATTGGACAAATAATCAAAGAGAGATCTTACTACGAAAAAAAAAAAAAGGAGAGATCTTCGAAGGCCAGTCAATACCATGTGAAATTCTAGGCCTTGCACAATAATTGTAGTTGCTGTTAAAAGAGGTCTTTACGATAGTTACGTGTGAAATTAATCCGCGCTCGGAATATCAAAATTATCCCTTGCAACTTGGAAGCTTGGCCATGACTAACGTATAATTCTTATTAAAGATTATGATTCTTATGAATTGTCTTTAATTACCAAAATTTCAACTCTGATACTCATTGAATTATCTAAATATTGACGATTTAAAAAGAGTAGTGCTCCCATAAACCTTAATTAACTGATATTAATCAACAACTCTTTTATTCATAAAAGATGGGAAAATACTAAATTATTTTATTTAAGCTAGAGACTGGAACCATTCTTATTCAACAAGGTTCCTATTACATGTGGGATCATCGAAATCCCTTTATTTCAACATATTTCTACGAAATATGGGAAATTTGCTCAAGCAAATGGCCTTTGGTTGTTGCAATCCAAGTTGTCTCCGGGGCTCACTCCCAACATTTGACAGTACCTTCTGTAGAACCCGACCCGATCAGCGACCCGAGAATCTTGCCCGTGCCCACATTCAATACCGCCGTTGATTATGTTGGTGATCACACCATATCCGGGGACTCGGCCTGCTGACTTGTCAGCATTAGATGGCGTCCATTTTCCAATAATCACATCATGGCTTGATGGCTTGTTTCCCTGTGGGGTCATCCAAAACCATATGGCTGTCTTGAATGACACAGTTGGGTTAGTGGACACTAAATCAGGATTGTTTATCAGATCTTCTTTTATAGCTTTACCCGCTGGCCCATAATTGTAGTTGCTGTTAAAAGAGGGTCAACATCCCACCATTATTAATATGTAACAAAAAATATCCCATCATTCCACTCACATGGTACACTACAATTATATTATAAAGCGTCACAGAACACTTCATATATACATGCTTAATAAGGTTATTCATGAGTTGGACTATGTTAAACTCTCACCTAAATAAATTAGGTCTATCTAAAATATTTTAAATTTAATTTTTATAGAGATGAAGAGCCACAAACCCGAAACAATATAAATTGACCAGTCAAGACTTCGGATATCGATTTCTATCTTTTATGCTAATACATTACCCCATTATTGTTCATTTGTATCTTGATGGCTAACATCTTCTCGTTCTCGTACACTCCCGTGATATGTACATACAATTTTTGCATTTACAATCATGATGAAATAGGTTTCATTTAAATTTAATTAATTAGTTCTTAGTTTTTTTTTTTTTTTTTTTTTTTTGTGGTGTGTGTGGTTGGGTTTGAAAAACTTACTGAGTGAGTTGGATTGGTCCTCGGCCATAATATTTTTTACCAGGAGCACATGGCCAATCTTTGGGCGTACAATAATCTCCCGGATTATTCCCTTCGTTGACAAAGCAATATCCCCATGCGTATGGTCCATCTGGTGCACTTGGCCACCCTCCTATACTCAAAACATTGACATATAATTAACGTGGTCATTTAATTCATATACTGATTTTGCCTCACAAAATATGCAACAATTAAGATTGTGACATCGGTAAGAGAATAATATAAATTATTAAAAAAATTCGTACTCAACACTTTAAAATTGTGAATTTAAATGGTTTTTTGCAAAAAAAATTTTTGTAAGAAATTAATGTGTGACAACGACATATCTGATATTATCTAAAATTAAAAACAATTATCAGCAAACCTGTGGTTTCATGAGAAGTTTGAGCGAAGAAAGCAGCAAGCTCCCTCTTGCGGGTGGTGTCATCACTGGTTGTGCCAAAGCCATTGAAAGAGCGAGCTGCAGCAATGAAAGCATCATAGGTGTAGAATCCATGACCGGCGCACCGTCCATCATTTCGATATTTCAGCATTTGATCGAAGAGAGAAGAGGTAACGAGCCTGCCAACATCACTACCACCTCCACTAGGTGTTGGAGTTGGGTTGGTGGGTGTGGGAGTTGAACCACTAGATTTACACTGGCTCTGGCAACCTGCTCCACAGTACTGATCTGTGGTGCCACAAAACCCAAATTGACTGCAACATAACCCATTTGGGCACACAGCTCCCCCAGCCTGTTTACCACATTGCTCTGCTGTGACCCCAAGCATGAAAGTCAATAAGCATAGCATCAAACAAGACAATTTCATGTTTCCCATTTTTTGGTGATAGTGGAAAATGATATGAATATATGAAACTAGGATATGATAAATATATTTATAGATGGGCATGATGGGACTGATCACTTCTATTTGTTTATTTTCAACATTGGCTGCTTTACGTCACTATCTTTATCCTATTATGTGACTTTCTGGTGCAGACTATTATTTGATAATAGTACGGCAAATACGAAATAATCACATGGATTCCTGTCAGTTAAGATATTTGAATTGAACCATTCTAGCTTAATTTGCGGTTAGAAACCAGAACTTATTTGAATTTCCTTCCCCTTCTACACGTTGTTACATTATATGTTTTTGTCACTTTTTTTATTATTATCTTTATTTATTTATTTATTGACTCTAGTTATTTCTTTGAGGGAGTTGATCTTTCAGTATTTTCATAAGTTTTAATTTTTTGAGTTGATCATGTGATTAAGCCTGAGTTGGAATTTAATAACAGTTAAAGCTTTTTGTTTTTCCCACAAATATATTTGATAGAAATTGAATGCACATTTTCCCCTATGTTTTATTATTATTTGAACTGTATGTTTATGTTACATACCTGTTAATTTGATGACAAAAAGATACATTTTTTTTTTCAATTTCTTATTGATAACCATAATTAATTTTAACAGTGACGATGTAAATTAATCTTCAAAGTATATAACTAACAAAAATCATAACAAAAAAAGTTTAATATGAATCACGCTACGACTATTCCTTTACTCGTAATCAATTCGGTGAAAACATACTCCCTATCGTGATATTTATCATTTTCCTTCTTAAAATATGGATTAATAATTTTTTGGGAAGGTTATACTTACAACCTATTTTTCCTTACAACCTCTTACAACCAATATTTTAACCGTTGATTTTCGTCAATCAACGGTTAAGATTTTCGCAAATAAAATTTATTAATTAATTATTAATTCGCAATAAATCTTAACTGTTGATTTAAGGGAGAGGTTATACTTACAACTTATTTTCCTTTACAACCTTTTACAAAATATGTGAAAAAATGATTAAAATCTTGATGTTTGATATGCCAAAATCAACATTAAATTTTTGACATCTTTTAATACTCAAATGAAATATAAATGACTTATTCTGTTTTTTCTCCTCACTAAAGCATGAGTGTTATAATATTGCAAATCTAAAATCATTTGTTGCAAAAATAAGAAAATCTTATAACTTAACTATTCAACCTCAAGTTAGAAAATTGGAACTAGTGAGAACATATAAAAAGAAAAGTTATATTTTACCAAATGATGGTAGCTCAGTTGGCACATAAGAATTGAATAGGTTGAAGTAAAAGCATGTATTTGATATTTCATAGTACCATCTTTAGGAGAGGTTTAAAGCCTTTTCTAGATCCACTATGAGCTCTGAATTAGTCCAAATGGAACTTATAGAATTATCGAAGGATACTCTAAAAAATAAAAATAAAAAGAAGCTATAGTTTTAGTCCGTGTTTAAAAACTCGGCCGGACCATCGACTCGGCTAAAGTCAGAGGTCACGGGTTCAATCGGGGGGTTACAGGATTACTTTGCTGACCCGATTTTATATGTTAAAAAAATATAAATATATATCCTATATGAAAAATTCAAAAAAATCAAACCACCAATCATCAAATATTCAAATATACTTAACATAATACAACAAATTACATCCACAATTCAATATTACACAAGCCAATCAAAGTATCAAAATATCAAAATATAAAACACATATTCCAATGAAGTTAATGAAAAGTTATATCATCAAACTCATGCCCTCCTTGACAATTTCTCAATTCACTATTGTTGCGATACAATTTAAAAGTCTTAGTTTGCATAATTTTTTATCTACTATCTTCTTGATATGAGAGTAAATACATTAGGATCGCCAGAGAAAGCTCTAAACCCTATTGCTCAGTAATACAATAATACCAAATATGCTTAGAGTAGAGAAACCAACCAAGAAAAAGAATGGATTAGTGACGAGAAGAATCATCAAAGCGAAGGAGAGGCGGTGGCGCGACAGAGATGGAAGATCGAAGAGGCGGAGCCGCGGAGGAGATGGGGAGAGGAGGAGGAACCACCGCAGCGGAGGAGGATTAGGAACCACCAAGGAGAAGACATATGAGATTTAGGTTAGCAGCGATTTTTTTTTTTCACAAAAAGATGTCGTCCGTGTGAAATTTAAAAGAAAAAAAAAAGCAGTGACTTCTTTTGACCCCTTTAACTCGGAAGTCACTAAGATCCGGCCAGATTTCAGGGATCAGTGGAATCAACTTACATATAGAGTCTAATTGCTAACCCCAACCCTAAAAAAAAAAATTCAAGGTTGATCCGGGTCCACGGAGGAGTAGGGAGAGAATTTAAAATACTGATTTTACTATGTCATCCACCCTTCGAGCTTGAAATATTTGTGGTCCTCAATCCTATATATCTTTTGACGTACAATTCAAGCCAGAAAAGGTTAAAAAGTTGCTGCAAAGGTTAACCCTTTCGTGTTAGACATGGCACTCCTGCCTTGACCCAAATATATCACCTCCGATTAAAGTCATGCACCAATACTCAGCATTATCATGTGTCATATTCGTAATGTATATGCGCATCATATACAGCTATACTTCTTGACATATATAAATATTTTTTGGTAAATACACGAAAATGTTCAGCATAAAGCCATCATGTTTTTTGAGTTACAAAAGTAGGGAAGTTTCAACTTTTAAGTGGGGCGGGTAAGAAGGCATTCTAAGAGTGGGGGAAATGATGAAGGGCAATATTTGACTAATCTTTATTTTATTTTAATTTATTTTACTATTATTTTTTTTGACGAGTACTGATCTTCAATTGTAAATTTTGTTTTGAAATACTAAGTAAATACTATCTTTAATATTATTTCTGTAACAACCCAAAAATCTTAAGATTCATAATATCGGGATTTCGACTGAGGTCAGACTCCCTTCAATTTATTCAATGAAAAATAAATAAAAAGAACTATATTTTCGGAACAATCATTTGATTTTGTTTCAATCTACCGGTCCCTGATGTTAAGGATAACAAATAGCTATTTGTTGCCTTGCTAACAGTTATGCAAGTAAGCGTGCAAGTATACGCGACAACAAGTAATATAAGGCTTTTGTGAGTCCCAGTTATCGTTCCCACAAGGATCTTTGATGTTTTTGACTTGACTAAAATTTGTAATTGCTTAAAACTGAATTTCTAACTAAAAAAAATAATAAAAATAACATAAAAGCAAAACTAATCTAAAATAGCATTGACTACGCTACTGTTTTTTTTTTTTTTTTAGAATTTTCTGAATTAATTTCTTGAGCTACTGAAAAATAGAAGGAAAGAAAATTAAGTATCTGATGTAAAAAGATTTTTATGTAAAAAAATTGAAAACAGAATGATTATTGAAATATTAAAAATCAAAGGAAAAGAAATCTGAGTTGATGAAAATGTTTAGAAAGATGGGTTGAGTTTTCGGTTCTCCTTCCCCACAGTGCTTGAAAGAATAATTTGATTAACAAGTTGCTCATCCAAAAATTTCCAGTTAACGGAACTCACTTGTTAATTTTTAATCTCTTAAAAATTATTTTATCCAAAATCAACCACTTCCATATCTCTATGCCAAATGGGATTAGGACTCTTGAGACTCAGGTCCAATGTTACATAGAGGACTCATTCATGTCTGAAGTGAGATCCCTTGAATAATCTCTCATTCAAGTCCATGAGCTTAATGCAGAGTCTAGAATGAGTTGTTTCTCAACAACTAATTCTTAAATAAATCTCTAACATCCGGCCGAACTGCAGAAAATTTAAACAACACAAATAACATTAAACAACTGAGATAAAACATTAAAATTCAGAAAACCAAATATTCATCAAGCACTGAGGTTTGGGTATCACATAAACCCAACCTCTAAAAGAACTAGCTCATACTCATAAGAGTTGAGCTTAAATCAGAAATGAAACAAAAAGAAAATAATAATTAAAAACTAAAATCAAATGCTATTGTAAAACTAAAACTAAAAATAAACTCTAAGGGGTCGTTTGGTACGCGACATTTGGCCGGATTTCCGGGAAACTGAATTTTTCTAAATTTTAAATTTTTGAATATTATCGTAAACTGAATGTAAAAATTATATTTTTGAAAATTGAGATTCCCGGACAAATAAAAATTTCTCCTGTACCAAACGCACCATAAAGACATATAAACCTAGAAGTAGGAGGAAGAAGAAGCCCCACAGGAGAGGTCCTTTGCTCCTTTTATATCAGCTCCTCTTGCATGCGCTGATAATAGTTTCTCTCCTCCTTCGCACGTAGCAGCATCTTGGGCCTTCTTCACACGTACGTCTTCTGCCTAGGAGCACCAACAAATCAACGCTTCTAGCTTGTCCTTCACAACGATGACATCTTGGATTTTTGTCTTTTTGCAAGTATGGGTTGGTTCAAGTAGAGGGTTTGGGATGGATTTTTGAGTGACTAACAGAATGAAGGTTGGATTAGTGAGCTGAGGGTGTCTAAGAAGTTCAAAGAGAGATGGGTAGATTGGGGCTTAGGGATTCTTTCTTCTGAGAAATGGGTAATCATCATCGATAGCTTTACCCCTTTTTGTTTTTCTTTCTTTCTTTCTTTTATTTTTATTTTTACTTTTCAAGCTTAGTCCTTGCTGTCTTTTCTCTCTCTCAATGTTGACCTAATGTAACAAATGCTGAAATTGGCTTTGATAAATCTGCAACAAAAAGTTGAATCAGCCCACAAGATATTTTTTTTACAATATTAGGTAAAAATAAGACAATTAAAGGACCTAACTATTTCTTTTTAATCCTAATAATAGCTAGCCCAATTAGAGTTATAGTCTCTTTTCAGAGACTTAACACTACTCAAGTCAATAAAATTTAATAAGCCAGAGATTAGATTCGTTATTATACTCAAAACATAATAATAATCTTGATAAAATTTATAATTTGCTTAAGCTTTGCAGAAATCTGAAAATACCAATTT